ACCCAGTACATAATTTCAAGTAAATCTATTTGCATTCTCTGATCACTATCCACACACACACACAAAAAAAAAACCACGTGTACTTTTGGTAAATATATATTTGGGATGAAAGCATAAACATCTATTTTATCTATGATATAGCAAAAGAGTTAAGATGGAAAGCTGAAAAATATTGGTTTGATTAAGCAGCTCTTCAAAATCACTTTGTGTGCAAGGAAATTCTACAGCCAGAATCAACCAAGAATACTCACTCAAAGTATCATTTATATAATATAAAGGATCTTTTGTCTCTGCCACTAGTACTGATGATTCTTCAAAAAAGTAAACAACAATTTTATAAAACCATGGAAGAAAGAAACATCTTTAACTTCATTCAATACACATTGGCTATTTAAGAGATATCTTTCATCTGAAAGAAGAACTGTGTTTTCATTATGAAATTAATCAAGAGTCTGGCTTCTTACATATTCCATTCTTCTTAAGGAAGGAAATAAATATAATTACGTCTGCTTTAATCAGTGGTGGCACGTCTCTAAGAATCACTCAAGACTTTTATCTCAAGATCTACTATTTTTTTTTTGTGGCATAGAGATTTTCTTTCTCTGTCTGATCTGATTACTAGTAACCAGCACTGAAATCTATCTCTAGAATACTTAAAATTTGGATTCCCTTACTTTAAGGTGCTTTGTTTATACACAGACTTTAACAGATGTAACACAATGCAAAAAGTCAGACTGAATTACAAGAGCTAGAATTTCAAAAACTAAGCTGCAATAACAGGTGAGCAAAACAAGTGTGTAGGGTGGAGTTTGAAAGATGGGAATAATAAACTGGATGTGTGCGATTTTACAGCAATTATGAACTAGGACTCTCCCTGCTGGTATCAGATTGTGCTTGCAGGTTCAGCTGACAGAAAGTAATCATGTAACACTGCCATCAATACCATACATGTAATGAGAATCACAGCCATGAATCAGGAAAATATCACTGTTCACCATTTAGGTCTCACCCCTATTCTTTGCTACCTGTCCACTGGTGTGTTGTATGTGGGAAGGGTTCTTTCTGGTAAGAATTACCATGGAACACAAAGTGGTTTTCCTCCTTGTGTAAGAATCTATAGCAAAGCTGAGCAAAGGAGCCACCAAAGGCATCCCCTGTTTGCAGTGTGGATACCTGTTCTTCAGCATTCATTGCTCCATCTCCATGTGTGTCCTCTTTAAAACAATGAGCACCAACTCAACTGCCAGTGAAGACTCAGTGTGGGAAGGCAGTTCTTGAACCATTACAGACCACAGCAACTTGAAGCTCTCTGTGATGCACCAGTCATTGACATGACTGCATCTCAAGGAAGTGAAGATCCTCCCAATAACTCTTATTCTCATCTTTGACCTCTTCTGAGAAAGTAACTTTTCTTGTCTTTTTCTGGTCAGATGTTTCATTAAAATAGGAGTATTATGGCAAATCAGCAGGCTACTTTCTTAATTCCTTTCAAATGTCAAAACATACATAAACCAATGGCAAACAAAATTATTCCATTACAGGAGATAAATGACCAATGCACAGGAGTAAACAAAGAGTTTGGTTACATGTTAGGAAAGCTACTGACATATGCATGAATTTCACTATTAATAATTGAATAAATTGTTTCAGCTTTAGGTAACCAGTCAAAATTACTTGTTTCACAAGTAAGAATTAATAGTGACAGCTATTGAGACCATAGTGCTCAAGTAACAATACATCTCTTTCATTCCAGAAGTAGCCCACACTTGATAGTTAACAATTTTTGTTTTATAAGCAATAATCCAGATAAGGACAGCAACACTTGATTTTCCCATGGACACACATTGAGACAGACACTGTCTTGTCACAGCCTGACGGAACTGGCTGCCAGTGTTACACCTGCTCTACTCATTACAGGCTTCAGTCTCAAAGCCTGTCAAGCTGTTACTTTTCACACCACTACATCTACTAGAAAAGCTTAAAGATAAAACCACAATAATCAGGAAAATAAGCTTAATTTTAAAAAATGTTTAAGGGTTACCCACCATCACTCAAAAGAGATAGCTACAACACTGATACAGAATCAACTTTGTTTCTTAATCTTTCAAATATTTAGTCTAATAATAGAAATAAAACTTTTTCCCAGACAACTGCAACAAATGTTTTTTAACTGAGGATTTGTGGAACAAAAAACCCCAAACTAAGGTGTACTTGGTGCAAAGTTTTCAATAGTTGAATAAAGGATTCCCCTTTTCAACACCAGCAGTATGTCTTTCTACAGGAAACAATCAAAATTTGCTTGGGACTATTGCACTTGTCTAAAAAGGGTCTTTACAGCCAAAACTGCAAAAAGGAATTAATCTTTTGGGTTTGGGTTTTTTTTTTTCCCTCCCTGGGATGTTGTAATTGAGACAGCTGGAAGAACCTATGAAGATGCTGTTGGCACCAGTCTTTCAAAGTACAGAAAGATTATAACTTGTTATCTCTTTTTTGTAAAAAAGGTAGTGTAAATTTATACATATATATATATACACACACACACATCAGTAGGTCACGATAAGAACAATTCCTATGTATCCCCAACTTGGCAAAAATCAAGATCCAAAGTTCAGACCCTGCACTTTCACCTGCACTGCCCTCCACTTTTCTCTAAGTTCTTCTGTGCATCCCACAGTAACTTGCTTATGAGTCCCAAAAATGGAGCTGCAGAGGAGCATCTTTGAACCAATACATTTTATCTCACTTTATTCTGCATATTCTGCAGGCTTAGAAGTGGAACCTAGAATTTTTCATTTCCACTTTAAATCCTAGAGTGTTCATAGAGCAGGGAAAACCAGCTAGAGCAGAGTGGCAAGTCCACTTCCAGTATTATCTCCTTTACTGCTTTCAGCTGAAGTCTGGGCACATAGAATGCCACACACAGTGGATGTTTTTATCTTCTTTTCAAGGAAATTGAATAAATAAGGATGAATGCTATTTGATTGTTGAATGAAATGCACAACTAAACCAGTATTTTTCCTGTTTGTTTACTTGACTACCCAGAATATCTAAGAAATTCTCTATTAAAGTGCTTTCACTGTCATGTGCAGTCTTAACTTGGTTAACACTTCAGAATTTCTGATAGGAGATGTTAAAATCCATGCAATGAACGCTGAAGTAATACAGTTTTCCCACACTTTACTGCTGCAATCCTCTTATCAATACTGTGAGGTGCCAGTGCATAGTTCTGGACAAACAAAAATGGTAACATGTCCTTTTGCCCCAACACTGACAAACACCCAAAGCAAACCTGTCTGTTCCCACGTGGAGAATGATGAGAAGTACAAAACACAGGCAGTGCGATAAGGGATACTTGATGCCACAGGAAACAGAATCGTTTGCTAAAAGGACACACAAAGACCTTCACACAGTTTCTACTGTAAATCCAGGGGGTTGGACGTGTGAAGCATTACCTCCCTGCTAGAAACTGTGACTTTGTTTCTTCACAGCAGCAGATATGCCAAGAAAAAAAAGAAAAATCAACCTTATAAAATTCATAGTTCTGACTCTGTACAGGAAGACAAGAATGTGTCCCAAAGCTGTGAAGGACAAAAAATCCACTTTGGAAGCAAGTTGGAGTTGAAAGGACAATTATATATAGGATCCAGACTCTATCCCATTTTAAATATCAACAAGCAAGAGGACCAGGAACAGAAGTCTATCTAGGTACAACTCCAACATGTTTATTAAATCAATTGGCTTAGCTTTTAAAAATACATATTTATGTATTTTTTACTTCAACAGAGACTATTTTTGCTTAAAAAAACTAAGCAAAACAAAACCCAGATCAGAAGCATCTGGGCTCTGTTTCTGGCTTCAGGATATGGACACAGGGTGATGCAACTTTTAGGTATTATTGTTTAAATTTTATTTTAAATTAATATACTTTGAATACCACAGTTACTTAAATCTTACCATTTACACTCCCCACTTTTAACTGTTTGGGTAAAATAATGGGTAACAAGTTGATAACTGAAAGAGGTTACCATTTAACCACTGAGCCAGAAAAACTGCAATTGAATGGTGCAAAATTTTCACAGTTCACAAGCCAGCCCCAGGAAACTGCTGGGTTCCGAGCATTGCCTATACTTCTGACATCCCATTGCGTGTCAGAAACTGACACCAACCTTTCACTATCTACGGAACCAACTATGCTCCCTCACAGTTGTGCGCGTGTGTATGTGAGATGATTCACTTGCTTTTATTTCAGGGAACTGATGATTCATTCAATCGTCTCCAGATCGTATTAATCTACCAAATATGCACATAAAGGAAGCAAAAAATCAAGTTCTTAAACTTTTTTATGCTCGCATGCTTATTTTTTCTTTGAGAGAGAAGAGAAGCAATTAAACATGGGAGACGAACCAGGACAGGTTACGTTTGTGCTCAAAGGCAAGGTTTGGGGAACACACCCAACCCACGTGTAAAACGAGCAGCCGTATTTCAGCGGCGGACTGCGAGGGGAGGGGAGCTCCTGTCCCCTCCGGGCCGGGGCTGCTCCCTCTGCTCCGGTACCTGGAGCGGGCAAGGCGGGGCGGGCCGGTGCGTTCCCCCCTCCGCCACACCGAGGGCTTGTGCCTCTCCTCCTCCGGTGACATCTTACATAATAAGCCGAGCTAATCACGCCGGAAGCGAGCCAAACCGCCACGGAGCATCAGCGGGGATAACTACCCGCGAGAGGAGATGCTCGGACCGGCACCCGCTCCTCGCTCACTGCCCGCCCTGGCGCCTTGCTAAAAAATCCTCGCCGGGGCGGCAGCGGCTCCCGCGGCAGGCGCCAGACGCGGAGCCCTCGCTCGTCCCCCGCCGCGCTGCGCGCCGTCTCCCCGGGCAGCCGCAAGCATCGCGAGCGGCACCCGCCTCTCCGAGCGCGCTCCGCGCTCCCGGCCCCGCGGCGGCGGCCCCGCCGCCCTGCCCGGCCGCCGCCGGCTCCCTCCTCAGCGCCGAACTGGAGGAGAAAGTTACTCGGCGGCGGCCCGGCGTCCGCCGCCGCCGCAGTTCAAGAGCAATGTCACGTTCAACAACTTGTTATGACACATGATCCCCCCCGCACGCATCCGCACCTCGCCGCCGCCTGCCCGGCGGCCCCCGGCGGGCCCCTTACCTTCCCCTGCAGAGGCCACGGGCACCCGCGGGCGTGTGCGGGAGTGGGTGCGTGTGGCAGCGCGGGCGGCGCCGGCTGGGCGGGCGGGCGGGGGAGGGGAGGGCGGCGGAGCGGCGGGAACGCGCCTCGCCGGACTTGTCAGCGGGCGGGGGCGGCTGCGGGGCGGCGCGGGGAGCGGCGCGGAGGGGAGCGCGGGGGGCGGAGGAGTTCCCGGGGCTTGTTTACGCATTGCCGCCCGCCCGGTGCAGGCGCTGCACTCTCTGATTGGACACAAACTGGGGCACAGCCCGGCTCGGGCGCTGTCGCCCCGGGGGCCGCCGGCGCCGCTCGGCCGCCGGTGGAGCCCCCGCCGGGCCGCGGGGCTCGGGGCCGCCGGTGCCCCGCGGGCTCCGCCGGCACCCGCCGCCCGCCCGTCCTCAGACGCTGCCCGGCCGCCGCCCCCGCGCATGCCCGGCGCGCGGGCGGGCGCGGGCCGCGCATGCGTGCTGCGCGTGCCCGCTGAGGCGGAGGGGCCGGCGCGGAGCCGCTGCCCGGGCGGTGCGGCGGGAGCGCGGCCGGGGCGCTCCGCGCTGTCCTCCGGCGGGCCGGGCGCAGGACCGGCGGAGCCGCCCCCGCAGGCGCTGGTTATGTAGACGGGGGTGTCTGGTGGCCCCGTGCCACGGCCCCCGTCAGCGGTAGCGCCTCGGGAGGAGGAGCTGCCGCTCGGTGCTCCCGTGGCTGCGTTTCCCGAGCCGGGAGGTGGATGTGCTCCCTCCGTCCTTCCCCGGACAGGTGCGGCCCCAGCCCGGGGCCGGGCAAGGGCACATCCCCGGTCAGACCCTTTGCCCGCTCCTAAGCGCATCGCATCCCGAAAACTTCAAAGTTTGGGCGGTGCGCGGTGTCCGCGGCTCGGTGCGGAGCGAACAAACCAGACAGCGAGCGCTGCTGTGTGTGGGCACAGCGGCTCGGAAACACCGCGCTGCTCCCTCGGGGCAGGCCAAAGGCCACCCCAGCAATGGGTATTTTCTCCTTGATTTGTTTCTGCTGGGGTGGGTGCGACCCGTATCTTACCCTTGGTAATTTCCATTGAAATAAACTTTTAAACCAAGGAAATCAGCAGAACATAACACAATTGTATGACATGACTCATATATTCATTATTTCTAAATAAGCAGCTCCTTAATGCTCCTTTTACTCCCATCTCTCAGTCAGCAAATGACAATAAATGTAATAGCGAAATGTAAGCTGTGAGAGCTCTTGGCAATAGGAATCCCCACTATGCACTATCAGTACCCACCACGGGAACTTCCCTGACTCATTTTCAGATGAGTAAGCTTCTCAATCAAGTTTTCCTGGCATTTGATGGTAAAGCACTCAACTTCCTCATACTGACAGCAGAATCAATAGTCCCCATTACCTGTTCCATGTTGCCTCTTGCACAAAGTCTGGGATAAGGGCCCTGGTTAGAACCATTTCCTTGCAAGTCGCCAGAGTAGTCAGCCGGCAGTCAGGACTGCTGATACTTAGAGCTGAGCATTCACCTGCAAGTTAGCAGCTTTCCTGACTTCAACTTTCTTAGATAGAAAGTAGGAGAGCAATTTTGAAAGATTAATTTTAATATATCCATGATGCTTTCCAAATAGCATTGCATGAAAAACAAGCAAACAAAAAAAAAAAA